AAAAACTCGTTGTTTACCTGTAGTTCCTCGTAGTTTTCGCTGGTCAGTTATAAATCAGGTACATGGGTCTATCATGCATCTAGGTTGAAAGAAAACACTGGATAAAGTGTACGATCATTACTGGTGGAGATTCGTGGAGAACTGCATTACATGTAGAGTTTCTAAGGGTACGTCAGGAAAACCCCAAATGGGGTGAATATATCATTGTTCAAATAGACGCTTTTACAAAATACGTTTATCTATTTCACACCTTTTCCTTGGATGCTAATACATGTATAAATGCAATGAAATCTTCGATTGCCATTTTTGGCGTGCCAACACGTTTAATTGCCGATCAGGGGTGCAGCTTCACGGGCACAAAGTTTGTGCAATTTCGTTCTAGCCAAAAAATACAATTAAATCTAATTAGAAGGGGCGCAAGTCGAGCCAATGCACTGTGGTTCCGCCATAGGCCAAAAGTCAAAAAATCTGATTTAAAAATATTTAAACTTAATTTACACAGTTTGATTTTAAAATGACCAATCTTCAAGTTAGCAAACCGGTTTTCGCTGGAAACCTAATGTTATATTCTAGAAAAACCATTAAAAGCAAGAAAACGTGTTCATTTCTGCAGCGCATCGGAGCTCTTGAAAAATATTTCGATGCAAACGCTCACTTCAAATCGGTGAGGCAACTGTTCAAGTGCGTATATTAAAATAATTAAAAAAGAATTTTGAAGCTCAATTTTATTTTATTTTAAATTATGATATTAATAAAAACAAACTAGATTTATGTATTTTGTGAAATAAATATTTTGTGAAACATATTTCTTTGTACCTTTTTTGTGTGTCTTAAATTTCTTTACCTAAAGTTTTAATTATGTTCCCCCACGATTCCTCCATTGAATTATAGTTTTTTTATCTTTGTCAGAGTTTTTAGAATCTTAAATTGTTAAAGTTAGGTGTGGAAAGTTGCGGTGGTGTTTGTAATCGTTAATATACTAACATGACTTCTTATTTTTTTCAAGGCCAAATTATACCAGCGGAGCCCCTTTTTCGTCTTTTGTGTATCTAATGCGTCTTTGTGTTCGTCATTTGTGATTGTCTACACTTTATATTAATTTTTTTCAATCAGTTATAATAATTTTTTCGCTTTTATTTTAAATTTTTGTTTTCATTTTCAAAGGCGATTCTTATTATGTCGACTGGTTCATAGCTGTGAAATAAATATGTTTATAATAATCTTGTATTGTTTAATTTATTATTTTTTTGATAAGATGAATGATGAGCAGAGTTTGAAAAGTATACAATTTCAACATAAAAGACAAGAAAGGAAAGCTAACTTCGGGCGGAGCCGAAGTTTATATACCCTTGCAGTTAAAACCGGATATATATCGCAAACATCGGATATAGTTGGCCGATCCTTATGGGAATAGGAATATATAATCGAATTTATTACAATACAAAATCTAAAAAAAGTCCCAAACTTCCATCTTCAAAAATACGAAAGTTGATATTTCTACCAAAAACCATTTCCGATCGTTCAGTTATATGGCAGCTATGGGATATAGTCGGCCGATCCTAATGAAATTTGATAGGTTGGATCAACTGACCAAAAATAGAATCTGTATTAAATTCCAGCTTTCTATCTTCAAAAACACGAAAGTTGGGTCATTTCCGATCGTTCAGTTATATGGCAGCTATAAGATATAGTCAGCCGATCCTTATGAAATTTGGCATGACGTAATGTTTTGCCAAAAGTAGCTCTCTTGTTAAATTTGAACTCTCTAACTCTAAAAACACCAAAGTTATACCATTTCCGATCAATCAGTTATATGGCAGCTATAGGATATAGTCGGCCGATCCGGGCCGTTCCGACTTATATACTGCGTGCAAAGGAAAGAAGGGTGTGTGCAAAGTTTCAAGACGATAGCTTTAAAAGTGAGAGACTAGTTCGCGTAGAAACAGACAGACGGACAGACAGACGGACAGACAGACGAACAGACGGACAGACGGACATGCTCATATCAACTCAGGAGGTGATCCTGATGAAGAATATATATACTTTATAGGGTCGGAGATGTCTCCTTCACTGCGTTGCACACTTTTGACCAAAATTATAATACCCTCTGCAAGGGTATAAAAAAGTTATCAATACTAAATGATTTGTTCTAACTTAGTGTTTCTATGGCTGCTATATGCAATCGTTGTCAGATTTGTATAAAATTTGGTAAGTATGGATGTGCAGTTAGCTCTTAACTGTACAGTTAATCGTAGCACTAAGTGTAGTCCTTAAGAACTTTTGATTGGTAAAGTTGGGCGACCACTGGGTTGATACCTACAGGGTGACAATAAATAACTCGGACAAACATTTTTAATTATAACTTCTTTAGGAACTGTATTTGAGAAAAAATGCAGATACACAACTTTTAAATAGGTATTGTGTTAACATATATTCAGCCGGTTTCAAAGTGGCTTCCTTGGGCTGCGATGCAGAGCCCTAAACGTTTCTGGAAATTTAGCGCAATGGGCCGCAGGTCTTCTTCCGATAATCGATCCCATTCCCGGAGCAATGATTGCTTCAGCGCCTCCAAACTTATGTGGCGTTTAGCACATGCCCTGGAATCCAAAATAGACGACACACTGTAGTGCATCGGATTAAGATCTAGCGAAAAAAGGTGGTCATTCACTGGATGTGATAAAGTGCAAAAATTGGCTTTGCACCAGTCCTGAGTCAATTTGGCTCTATGGGCTGGCGCTGATTCCTGTTGAAACGTCCAGTCCGTATCACAGAAGTGCTGCTGGGCCCAAGGAAGCACAACAGTTTCCAAAATGTCCCGGCGGCACACTTCCTGATTGATTTTGACCGATGAAAACGATGAAATGATCGATGAAAACAAGGGGTGTTTTACCGGTGGCGCATATTCCTCCCCAAACCATTAAAGACTGCTCACATTGACGGCTCTGGATTATTGCAGAGGTATCTGTAGCTTCAACCTTTGGTATGCCAAGCAAACGAACAATGTCGCATTGGCGATTTCCTTGTTAAAACAGTTTTAAAATTGCACAACGATTGTTCCGAAACAAATATCAAATTGAAAGGAATCACAAAAATGTAAATATATTTGTTTCTGAAAAGTACAAGCTATTGATAAATGAATTTATTTAAGGGCTGCATCATAACACATTTATAATAGATTGCTTCAAAGTTTGTCCGGGTTATTTATTGTCACCCTGTATTAGTGATACCGAAGATGAAATTGACAAGATACAATCAAGGGAGTTCGCTCGTAAAAACATGGAGGAGGCCGCTAGATATGAGAAGGCAAAATTTGATAAAAATGTGGCTAAAGTAATAAGGTTCTATGTGGGGGACTATGTGCTGCTTAAAAACAGCGAGAGACAACAAACAAAACTAGATCCTAAGTTCAGAGGACCCTTTTTGGTGGTCGAGGTATTGAAGGGAGATCGATACTTTTTAAAGTCTACACAGAACAATAGGCGTTACAAGTACCCACAAGAAAGTTTGCGAAAGTTACCGGATGTGCAAATTCCAGAAGAGCTTGATATAAATTACAAAGAACAAAGTCAGTTGGAAAAGCCTGTTGAAAAAGAGAATTCGTGAAGCCATGTGATTGGCGATGAACGAGAGTTGCTTTAGAAATGTGTTTGATGAATTCGTGAAGCCAAGTGTTGGGCGATGGAAGAGTGATGTGTTTGATGTCTTCGTGAAGCCAAGATATGGACGAGTAATATGATTAATGAATTTTAAAAGCCATGTGTTTGGCGAAGAATTTAAAAGTTGGCTTGTAATATGATTAATGAATTTTTAAAGCCATCTATTTGGCGAAGAATTTAAAAGTTGGCTTAAGTTAAGTTGGTTAAGTTAAGTTAAGGAATATCATACGAATTTGAGATTATGTGGTTAAGTTTTTGAAAGCAAATAAAAATTATAAAGTGGAATGAAATGCAGATGTTTATTATAGACACGAGGACGTGTATATGTCAGGATGGCAAGTCAGTCTCTCCCTTGACCGACACTATGGTGTGACCATAGGTCGTGGTAGAATATACCAGTTCTGGTATGATGGGGACTCAGTTTGCGAACTGAGGCCGTTTGTGGCTTCGTTGTGTTGCTGGATCTGGTCTCTTTTTTTCACTCGTTACTTCTATTCGTCCCGAGCTTTAGCGAGGCGATTTGTTTAAGCGTGGTGTTATGTTGAGGACTGTTGAGTAAGTGGCGGCTATGAGCAACAAAGGCAACGAAGACTCGCAACACCATCCAGGACTTGAAATGGAGGAGCAGCAAGCTAGCGATCAAGCGACTTCAATTCTCCGACATAAATTCTCGGGTCGGAGTGACTCCTTCACTGCGTTGCACACTTTTGGACAAAACTATAATACCCTCTGCAAGGGTATAAAAATGGTATAAAAAATATATATTTTTAAGGTATAAAAATGTAAACAAAATTCAAACAAAAAAACTTTTAGGAATTCTCATAAAAATTTGACTTAAAATCAAAATGTAAGGAAACTAACAAAATGAAAGTAATACATAATTCATGAATAAACTTACGTAGCATCTGCATCGCGAGAATGAAAAAACTTCTATTCGTTGGATCAAAGAAATCGCTTACACATATTCTTACCCATAGAGCTATGAAAGCAGCTGATCTATGCGTAGACACCCCAGTGCAAAGGCTATAAAGGGGTATGAAGGTTATGAAGGCAGTCTTTGCTCTCTAGAGTCTCTCTCTAGAGAGTCTCTACACGTCTTGCCAAGCTATCGGCTTAATGTAAGGTATGTGTAAAAAAAAATATTTAATAAAATTTAATATTCGGCTATAATTCGACCAATCTTTTTATATAGGGTCGTGATGGCCTGGCTGACAACTTTATCTATAAGGAAACGCTAAGAAAGACCCAATGCATGGCAAAGATCTCCACATCACTACGCGCAGCGACTAAAAAACTTAAAATAATTATAACAATAGAACAGATTAAATTTGGTTGTTAGTTTATAATTAGTTAATTTATTCAATCTAATAATTTTTTTCTGTTTTCTGCAACTATTTCTAAATTAATTTTGTAAACTCATGGTCTAAGAGCAGCTACAACCCTCTACAGACATATTAGGTATAACACTTAACACTAGATTATGATTGTCGTCAAAATACAACAAGCTTAAGGAACTCATTTTAGTCGGAGAACAACACGGCGTAGCTGAAGTCGTCAAGGCGGCCAAGTGTGTGTGCGGATAGTGTTCTAGGTATCCAACTCTGCAATCACCGCTACAAAAGTATGCATCAAATGACGTTGGTGCCACTACAAAATGCCACCCAAAACTTGTAAAATTTACTTTCAGTGGATATCTACAGCATCGCAGATCATGGTCATTCTCGGTGCAGTCCATATAGACGCTGCGCTTTCTTCTATGTTTTTTTATTGATCCGATTTCTATGTGAACTGTCTGAAATAGAAATAGTTTCTTTACTATAAGAATTAAAAAAATAAAAATAAAATTAAAAAACCAGAAAGGAAAGCTAACTTCGGGCGGAGCCGAAGTTAATACACCCTTTCAGTCAAAACAGGAAACATCGGATATAGTTAATCTATCCTTATGAGAATATCATAACAAAACCAATTTATTACAATAAAGCTACTGTTTAGTCGTAACTTGTTTATAAAAATAATATATGAGGGAAATACGTAGAACTCGCAACTTGGGCTACTTAGCTATGAGACGGGGCATAGCAAGCTACGAGCAAATAAAATAGCCCCTAACGAGCCCGAGCTGCATGATATCTACGTGTGTTCCTTACGCCCATGCTTATGAGAAATATTTGAATTGTACCGCCTAAAGATTTTATTTTTTTCGCGGTCTTTCAGAATTTGGAAATGGCTTGTGCATCAATAAGAGTATCAGCTAGCATTCCTGTATTCATCATAAAACTTAGAGGCCCAGACGACCGAGGGGCGCTCGAGAAACGATTTGTTAGTACATATTAAGCTATTTGAAATTTGTTAAGCTAAGAGGAGTTAGTAAGGCAATTTAAAATTCTATATTTTAAATTAGAGGGACAGGAAAGAGATGTAATAAGGTACAGCCCATTGTAGTTGGAACATAATACCCTAAAAGGGTCATGCAGTGCATATGTCAAACTACAATGGTTAAGGAACAGAGGACTAAAGTTTCGAGTCCTTCTATTAGGAATGTTAAATTTTAAGCGTGTTAGTAAATTCTGGCTATCTACATCCCCGTTGATAAGGATATGCATAAAAACAACACCGAGTGTTGTTTAAGTCTGCTACTGTAGGATGGAAGCTGAAGATTTGCATCCCAGTATAGACCTCTAAGTGCGAATATTAAAAAGTTCTTTTGTACGGATTCTATGCGGTCCTTATGTACTCCACATTGGGGACTCCAGACACATGAACCGTACTCCAGTATAGGTTTCCGAGGATTCGGAAAAATCGAGGTATCGAGGTTTCCAAAGATAAAATGGTTTTCAAAATCGAGGTTTCCAAAGATAAGTTAAAAAGTCTTAGAAGAGGTTTGCACAGAGCCCTGGCGCAGTATTTAGCACACAGCTTGGTACTCCGTCGGGGCCTGGCGAATAAATGGGTTTTACCTTTATAAGACCAGATAATAAAATGTTCTCAGAAAAAAACGGACAGAAAATAAGATTTGCTGCTTGAATGTTATATGCGTAAGGCTGATCTGTCAAATTAGGCGGAGAATAAGTTGTTTGAAAAAATTCTGCGAATAGATCGGCAATGGCCTGATCAGAGGTCGCAGAGAAATTTTCAAACGTAAGCAGGGGTGAAAGAGATACGTGTTTACGCTTAGTGTTTACAAAATTATAAAACTGCTTTGGATCCTGAGTAAATTGTATCCGGCAGCGGTCAATATAATTCCTATAACATTCAGCGTTATGCACGGTAAAATTCGACCGAGCTAGTAGGTATCTTGAAAAATCAACAATACTGCAGGATTTTTTATATTTAAGTAAGAGCCTATTTTTAATATTTTTTAGGTTAGTGAGGCACCTTTTCTACCAAGGAGGATTTTTTGAAGCGGACGGATATTTTCATGGCACACAGGAGTCAAAAAATGTATTTAAAGAAAAGTAAAATTTTGACGTGACGTTAAGATCAGTGCATGCCAGAATATCGGACCAATCGTATATATCGATTAGGCTATAAAGCAGAGGTTGGCACGGCCTTATCTCGGGGGCATAGGAAATTTCTCTGCCCGAGCTCTGCCACACACACACAGTATACATGTGTGAAACGTCATGCTCACAGCCTACTTTCGGCTATTCGTTACTAACACTAATGCGGTAAAATCATATCAATGCATTGGGGTGCCGACCACTGCTATAAAGTCTCTGAAAATCAGCTTTACGGAAGCAGCGAATCTTATTTACCACGCATAGAGACATCTGATCGATACCAGGAATAGTTTCGATAGAGACCTCCAGCGTGGGGTGATATGGATCCTCTGGGGTTGAAAGGGGAAAAGCTCTGGAGAGAGCGGTACCATCAGGATCAGATACAAATTACGAATGAATTTCTAACATGGTGAATCTGACCTAGGGACATGTCAAGCGTGCCCGCGGTGAAGTCATGGTGAGTGATAAGTGACAAAGATGGTGAACTCACGGCGTGATCGACGTTGGACCACTTTAATTCTGGGATATTAAAGTCGCCCACCGCTACGAGTTGGTCACGATCAATCTTTATAAGATTAAAGACGTACCGAATAGCGGACAAATGCTGCCAATATGTGGGCGGTTCAGACATAGGCGGTATATACGAACATAGTGATTTTAACGAAAATAAATACTATGTCACCAAACTCTTGGGATTTTCTTGGGAACTTCGGAGCTAAAGATCTCCGGCTTTAATCAAGTTTCTGTAAAGGCTATAACATGGGATGCAAAGGAAGAACTATCAGAATTTAGTTTATGGAGTTTGCTACGGAGCCCCCTAGTGTTCTGATAGGTAAGTGTTAGAGACGATACTAGTTTTTTGGGTTAGTGGACAAGGAAAAGGTGGAAGGTTGGTCAGTGGTTCCGATATGGGGAAGTCTCACTCCCACTGGTTTTTTAACTTTTTTCTTTACGGAACTCGGCTTATGTTCTTGGACGAAAATATTCTCTGGCCAAAAACTGGAAGAACAAATCGTCTTGAACATCAGCGCAGGCACACGAATCTTGAAAGAAGACGTGCGTCTTACATAATTATATTTTAATTTAGCTATATCCTCCACCATTATATCGGCTTTAGTTTTGGCTTTGATATAAGCCGAGATATCAATCTCTGAAGTGTCAGGGGCAAGCCGAGAAACAAATATATGTTTCGATGGAGGACTCACCTGTAAGGGCTTTGGTGTCGCAGGTACGAGAACTGCAGCATCAGTCGGTGCCGGTGGTCCGGACTTTGGAATACCCTTTTGACTCTGAGTGACTCTGACGGGGGTTTCATTTACTAAGACCTTTGGTATCACTTGAAGTGATTTGCTCACATTTGCTCAGACAATTGCTCATTTTCCTTGAGAAATTCGGACGGCAAATTGTTCTCAGTTCTAGCCCTTGGGGTGGCCAAAGACATGAGCGGCTGCGTTAATGCCGGCTGAGTAGACTGAGGCGGATCACAAACAGCGCATTTCTTACGCTTAGGAGACTGCGTTAGTAGCTGAAGGCTGCTAAACTGAGCGTCAAGCGCACAGAGTTGGTCATTGATTTTACGAAAACCAGTGATCAGCTCATTAAATCCATTCTTGGTCTGTCTCATGAACGACCTCATTTCGCCTTGGACAGCACGACAATTTTCACAACAATAATGAATACCAGACCTACGGAATATGGCATCCGAGATTGAGGCAGTGAACCCGGCACACTTGGCGTGTACTACGTTTTCACATAGCCAGCAATATATGGTAGGCTGGGATAAGGAAATTGTCTTGTTACAAGACTTCATAGTGCAGACAAGTTTAAATTCCATATTTTTTAATAAATTAAACAAAATTAATATATAAGAAGTTAAAAAACACTATACCTTGAACCACTGTTTAAAATAGGAAGCTGAAGCGGGAGCTTTTGAGAAAGCAAAAGAAAAATGCAGAAATAGATATTAGACGGGAAAGAAGCAGAGCTGAGCTATTCTTGGAATTAAAATTATACAAATTATTAATTCGACTCCAAATATACCACAGCACTTGCGAAGCGATACGGTTTAATAAGATTCTTAAGATTCTCAATATATTCAATTCACAAGTAAGTAAACACCGGTTTACCAATATTTATCATAAACGCAGAGGGCACAAAAAAACACGACCGTTCGATTCAGAGAAAGAGAGGGAGAATGATGATGATTATCGCTCTGTTAAGTACTCGTTCTTGTTACTCGCTGTGTCGCAGTTTCGAATAAAAGAAGAGAAGGAGCAGATAGAAACTAGTAATAAATGAACTTCCATTGAATTCAGTTGATGCGTTTCTACTTGCACCATAGTTGCTGGCCTGAAACAGGCATTTTCGCAGTTTGCCAATTTAGACATATCATCATATATACATAGCAGATCAGCTATACGTACATCCGCAATCTCAGTTTGGGCTTGTACTCGACACGCCGATGGAATTCATCGTTTATATAGCAGATCAGCTTTAGATGTATACATTAACCATGGAATCTCAGTTTGGGCTTATACTGGACACGCCGCTGGATTTCGCTAATCGCTAAGTAACAAATTCATAGCATTTCAGTAAATGAAACACATACATAAGCCTGCAAAAAATTTAATTACCTGTTGTCATGTCTGGAGAAAGAAGCGTTGGGGACCGTGAAAGCATACCAGATAACTGAGACCAATTACCCAAAGGCACTGGCCGCCTTAAATCGGGTGAATGACAATCAGTGTTTGATTTTTTTTTATTGTATTTCACGCCTCTTTGACATTCCCTCAATGCAGGGTCCGTCCTCAATGCTTGTCACTGCTTCACATGATACATACTGTCACAGCTATCTACGTATCCTTGCTTTCACTAAGCAGTGACAAAGTAATAGCAAATGCAATGCTCATACACATCGTCATGACCAAAGTGGACGCAAAAACTAAGTCTAGATGGGAAGAAAGCTTACACTTTCAAAACATCCCAGTTTGGCAGGACTGCCAAGATGCACTCAATAAACGCTACCATCATTTAGCAGCAGATAAAGCTACGTCAAGCACGCAAAAGTCTCGTAAGCTGGGACGGCCGAATTCTTTAAAGACCTTTAGTAAAACTTCCTTGTCCGTTGCCAATACCACTCGAACCCAAGATCCAAAATGCTATTATTGCAAAGCTGTGGATCACTACATTCAAGCGTGCAGTTCGTTTGTGGCCGCATCAGTCGCTACATGATTTAAATTCGCTAAGACATTCCCATTGTGCATAAACTGCCTAAGGAAAGGTCATTCCGTTCTTT